TTAACTAAAAGCAGTAAGAAAGCAGGAAATGATACGAAGTTCTTTAGCAAGGGAAGAGTCACTCGGGAATGAGTCCCCCTAGCTCCTTAGTTAGGTCGAGGTTGCAATTACCCTGGGTTGATTAACTGTTGATTAAACTGCAAAGATCCGACAGTAGCTTGGAATCTCTTAAGCTGACCAAGCCCTCTTAGGCAGGCTAACCGGCAAGCGACTAACCTTCACCATGATAGACTGCTGAGGCAATAAGCACAGAACTCCACTACTGGAATTGGGTTCCACTACAAAGCAGTAAATCGATTAACTCTCGTATAACCAAACTACCACTACCGATTGATGAAGCTCTAACAACCTAATCAGATTCTATCTATCTCAGGTTGCAGTAGAAATCAAGAAAAGATTATCAGACTTCAATTGACTCAATGAATCATGCATCAATCGATTAAAATTAATCAGTATATCAATCCCAAGTCATTACAATCAAGATTCCTAACACATGGAACTAGGGTTCTTCATACCCAAGTGAGAGAAAGTTCTACGCCATAGAGAGAGAGAGGAAATATAAAACAGAGTAGTCATACTCATAAAGATGAGGATAATCTGCTCTGGGATGTCGATCTTCACTCCTGGGGATGCAATCTGGGCTTCAATGGTAAGAAATCCACTCCAAATAGCTCATAGGGTTTGTTCTTCACACTTTCTCTCTCTAAAGCTCTGTTTTTTGCTCAAAAACTCCCTTCCCTCTCATTAGGCTCGAAATTGGGTTAAAACCCAGAATTTCCCGACCACACGGCCAGGACACACGACTTTGTGGTTTCCCAGTCTGCCCGTGTGAGTACCAAAATGCAGCGTTCCATCTAATGAGCTTCATGCACGCTGCATGGCCAGAAATGCACGGCCGTGTGGAATCTCGGCCTGACCGTGTGAGCTCCCTGGAATTTCCACGCGGCCTCAAGGGACCCAGTACACGGCAGTGTGTCTTGACCGCGTAATGGGATTTCACACGGCCATACCACACGGCCATATGGCTGCTGGGTCTGGCCGTGTGGATTCCTCAGCTTCTCGCCAAATGTCCAACTTTCGTCCAATCGATCCCGAACTCCTTCCCAAACTTCCAATCACGTACTAGGACCTGAAATAATACAAACGAGAACAACCTAGCGTGAAATCGGCCTAAGATATGAGAAATGAGGCTCAAACGGCATAAGAATGGTGGATAAAAATATGTGTATATATCAAGTCATCAAATTCCCCCACACTTAACCGTTTTCTTGTCCCCAAGGAAACCAAGTCAGATACAAGGTAAGCTCAACACATTTCAATCATACCAACTTTGGGGACAAATCATATAGGCACAGAACACGTGAATCATAGTGGCTTTTGATCATTGCCATATAGACAACTCAACAGCAACATAGACATCCACCACAGAGGACATTCGAGTGCAGCAAAATCGGGTAAAGGAAGAGGAATCCTTTTTGTTCACCAACCAACATAGACTTGACTCAAATACTTGACCAAGACAGTCATTACATGCATCAAACTCAAGACATCAGAATTAAGACCGAGCCATCTAGGTCCTCACCGGGGTAAAGAGCATAAAGAACACGGAAATGAATCGCTCACTCTCGACCAGTGGGGTCAGGACAATTGATGCGAAAAATGTGCATGCTTATTCTCTCCAATACTAACGTCTCTTCACCATTATGGCAGCCTCTAAATGTTAGAGTTCACACAAGGGATGTCACCACTAACTAATCCGGAGGTCTTAGACACAGGTTCAAGTGACTCAACTCTTAGACATGGAAATTAGGCGGCGTATTCCCCTCAAGGACGTGGTGCAAAAGTCTCTCGCCACTGTCCACCCAGCGATCAAGCCAAAAAGAAGTGGATTGACCATCTTTGATGTTAATCCTCATGGCCTCGGTCATTACTAGCCAAGCTTTTCGGATGCCTCTTCAAATTGTATAGCTTCTAGCAGTCACTTTCAACACCATTTGTCCCTGGACCTCCTTGAAACACTTCGCCTGGGGGATCTGCAACAACAACTCATCGAGCTTCTTAATAAACAGCCAAGCAAGTTTAGTAAGAAATGCTATGTTCAGTTCATGTGCCTTTCGAAGCCCCAGACCACCATTTTTCTTCGGTCTGTAGACTGCCTCTCAATGCACGAGATGCATCTTACTTTGCATCCTTGACGATCCCCAAATGAAATTGTGAATCCTCCTATCAATCTCATCACAAATGGAAATCGGCAGTAGAGTAGATTGCATGGCATGCGTCGGCAGGGTGTTAAGCACTAATGCCGCCACTGTTACCCAACCTGCAAAGGAAAGGTTCTCTGCTTTCCAACCACCTAGTTTATTATAATTTTTGTTTAGGATATACCTGTATGTCTCCTTGATGACCCGACCATGCAGTACCGGCACACCGAGGTTGCGCCCTAGATCCTGGGTGATCGGGATGCATGCCGCTGGAGAGATAGAGTTGCTTTCTTACTTTGAAACATTCTTTGACAAGAATATTACCGATTTTTCCATACTCACTTGCTCCCCCGAGGCCATCCAAAACCGATCCAGATAATCTGTGATGACCTGACTCAACGACGTACTTGCTTCTGCAAATAGAATCAGATCATCAACAAAAAAGAGGTGGGATAGGGGAGGCGCACCCGGAGCTATAACCAACAACTTCTATTTTCCCCTCTCTACTTCTCTCATGATGATGTGGCTAATTCGTTCCATGCAAAGGGTAAGGGGATACGGTGACAAGGGACAACCTTGCCTCAGCACCCTAGTCGGGCGGAAGCTTTCCGGGCAACTACCATTACATAGAACCTGCATCGAGGATGCGGAACACACACCATGACAACACTAATCATGTGCGCCGGGAAATCTGCACCCTATAACGTTTTTTGCAGGAACAACTAGTTCACTCTATCGTATACTTTAGCAAGATCGATCTTCTAGACCATATCTCCTTTCTTCCCCTTCTACAGCTTCATAGAATGAACCACTTCCTGAAGGATGATGATGTTATCATTTATATGGTGCCCGAAACAAAACTAGTCTGCGTGGGATGGATCAAGCTGCGCATCAACAACTTAACCCTGTGAGCCAGACATTTTGCTAGGGTCTTGTACACCACATTACATAGCCCAATCGGTTTGAATTGACTAATGAACTCGGTGCTCTCCTTTTTCGGAATGAGAACCAATAGAGTTTCATGGACTTCACTAATTCGGTCCAGGTTTCCGAATAGTGTTCCCACGAAGCTTGAGAAAGATTCGGCCACCACCTTCCAGCATTTTTTTATAAAACAAGAGAGGGTACCCATCCTTCCCCGCGGCTTTGAGGCCGCCCATGCTCTTCACTGCAGATCATACCTCTTCTTGATCCACCGCTCGTTCTAAGCTGTCCACTGCGAGGAGCTGACAGCCGAAAATGCATCGACAATGGTAGATAGGTTCCCATCTCAACCTGGTACAACTCCACAAAGAAGTCTCGTGCCAACTTTTGGAGAAGAGTTTCATCGTAAACCCATTTGCCATCCCCATTTCGTAGTCCATGTATCCTATTGAACCATCTTCTCTTCAGTGTGGAAAAATGATAGAATCTGATGTTCTGATCTTCTTTGGCAATCAACTAAGTCCTCGATTTTTGAAGCCACAAAAGATGCTCTTGCCACAGTGTTTCCTGAAGTTTCCTTCGCATCTTATGTTCTCTTTCCTGGGATGCCGGATTATCTCCCCTCTCAATGTCCCACTCCGCGGTTAAGAGGCTCTTTGCTAACCTTCGCTTGCGTCTCTAGATGTGGCCGAACACGGCCCAGTTCCATTGTTGCAGCTCCTTCGTCAGGGAAGTAGTCGACCGAACGAAATTAACACTCCTAGCCTATCCCTTTCGTCAGAACCCGCTCAAAGTCATCATGCCCGAGCCACACCGCCAGGAACTGAAACGGCCTCGGTCCTGGTCTAGAGTCTTTCCCACCCTCTCCCATTAGCACAATCAACCTATGGTCGGAACCAATCCTCTCCAGATGTCGAGTGATCGTGCACGAGTATCGAGAAATCCACATATCATTGCAAAGAGCTCTATCTATGGGTTGTTTAAGCGCCCCCCTCTGCCACGTGAACCTGGGACTAGTAAACTCCACCTCTATGAGCCCGCTAGCATCTACACAGTTCTAAAAGGGCGGCAACACAGCCAAGAATGTCGTTCTGCCACCCCTGTCCATTGGCCCCATAATGGAATTCAAATCTCCTACTAGTGCCCATGGTCCCACACATCTCTACGATAGGCTGAAATAGCCACCACTTCACTCGGCTTTGATCTCTTTGAGCATGTGACATGTATCATCTGCTCTCAGGATGTTACTTTCTCCACAATCAACTCTTATCAACTGCACAACACCCAAATGCCACCTGAAAAAGCTAATGGCATCTCTGATTAGACAACCATCATAGCTCGTCTGCCGGATCACTATATGAGCTGTCTCCCCACTAATACGCGGTTCAACAATAATGACAATCTCCGATTTTGTGGCCTCACTGAAAGTACGCAAAGACGTGAAAAAACTCTCATCTCTTATCCCCTGGCAGTTCCAAGCTAGAACATTTAACATTAAAAGAGATAAACAAAGTAATCCACACCCAATAAATACAAAGCGCTCAACGTGACGAAAGAAAATTTCCTTAGTGCAGTCTCGGGGAAAGGCTACTACGCGAAGCTAGCAGGGAGCTTATCTCCCCTCGATAGAAGCACTACATCTCGCAGGTGCGTCAGGGTGACTTGAACACCCCCTGGCCTACCACGTTCCCTGTTTTGCCTCCCTTTGGATGAGTGGTAATATTACTTCCCATTTTTCGCGGTTGTCGTGCCTTTCTTTCGTGGGAACTTTGTCTGCTTTATTTTGGCATTTCCCATTAGATTGTCAAGGCCACCCTTCCTAACAGCTTGCGCTATCAGGACATCAACCAGTTCCTATCGAACGCTTTATGTACCTTGCGACACCTCGTCATCTAGGTTGTCTATCTTCATGGCTTCAACAACATCTTTAGAGTTTGATTCTGCGATATACCATGCCTCTTCTGCGATGACGTCGGAGAAAAAGTTTTTTGCTCCTGCCCCCGCTCCCCATGCCAAGGGTGGGATCTCCGTCTGCGGAAGCGACGCTGGTTTCACAGGTTCTTCCACGGTAGGTTCAGTCTCAATCATCTCGGGGTCTTCCACCATCTCGTTTGTAACGAACAGTGAATTTGCACACATCAGTCGAGCCTTCTCTTTTGCGTGCTGGGTTTCACGATCCCCCTTACCAGTCGGCGAGGAAGATGCCAGATGAGGTCGACGTTCGCAGTAGAGGATTCCGGTGGTTGCGGCGTTGGGGGAGTAGCCCCTGACAGAGCTTCGCTCATTGACGGCAGAGCCGCTAGGTTTCAGAATCACTACAAGAAAACTTGGCTATAGAGTCAGAGTTTATTTGCGTCTAAAAGTCAGTTATTTGATTCTGTATATCTTTTGAAGCAAATAAATTATTTGCATCGGACGCCTCCCTCTCTAATTCTCTTTAGAAGCAAATATAGATGCAAATAATATCTGCTTCTAATTATAAAATCTGAATCAAATCTTATTGATTCTAATCCCACTTTAAAGAACATATATATTCTCTTCTTTATTGGTTTTAGAGAGAAAAATGTTTGTTCCCATTTCTAGTTATGGAGACAATTATAATTGTTTCTAGAACACCTTACCGAAACAAATATTTGCTTCGTGAGCAAATACTTTAGCTACTATTTCAACTTTCATAATTTTGATTATTTTTAAATTCTACCTACGATTACCCAAATAAAATAACAATTTAAATTTTTTATTAATAATTTTTAATACATTTATTCTTAAAATACATGAATATATTGCCATAATACATAAAGAATACATTGTGCTAAAACATAAAAGAAAGAATACATTGTGCTAAATCATCTACTGATCTACCCTACGGTGTGACTCGCTACAAGCCTACAACTAATCACTAACATACCAAAACCCAACCTCGTCAAGCGTTTTTCTCCCCCTTGTTCTTCCTTGACCAAATCATTAAACAACCACAAATTGAACAAATTCAATTGAGGCCTCTGTGATGCCGCTGCTGCTTCTTCGCCCTCAAGATTGCAAAAGCTTACCCCATCCAGCCCCCAAACAAACAGATTGGAGATTCGTCATATGAAATCCAAATCCAGTTCAAGCGACGTCCACTAAATAAAATCCCAGATCTAGATCTGCAAGGACAACATAATTAACAGTTGAAACGGCGCCGATATGCACTCAGATCTAGATTTTTCAAGCTCGATCTATAAGCACTCAGGAGGAGATGGCTACATCAGCATGTGAAAATTGCTTACCATATGTAGATCTAGATCATCGGGGCAAAGAGATCCTTGAAGGATTGGTGTCGTTACCGCTACAGTCTTCAGGTTCGAATTGAAGAGAAAGCCTAAGAAAGGAGCATTCTTGTCGCTGATGAACGTCGACGCCATTTCTGATATCTCTCTTGGCGGATCTGAGGGAGTAGGTGACTACCGCGGGAGAGAAAGCTGCGTCGATTGAACGATTGATGATATGCCTCTCCTTATCCTTCTCGATCTATCGATTCTCTCAGGAATTAAAGGCGAGGAAGAAGAAAAGAATGAGAGAGAAGCGGAGGAAGAGTTGTGGCTGATGTTCGTTGTTTGGAGATTGGAGAGAGAGACGGCATTACATCAATTAATTGGAGTCCCTAAACAAAAATAAATTTAATTGGAGTCCCACTCCAAATTTCCATACCAAGAAATTGAAACGTCTCTCTAGAAAAGTCCAATTAATGGGTTATATTTTCTCTTTGTTTTTAATGTGTAATAATTATACAGTATCAAGAACAAATAAGTTTGGGTAGAAATGGAGAAACTTTGGGCGGGATAAATGATAAGTTTTTTCCCATTATTTTTTTATAATTTTCCCCATTACTTAAACCTACACAATACAACCAATTCGAATTAGTGTTTTAGGAGCATATAGATTTGTCTCTAAAGACTATTAAATTTGTCTCCATATGACATAACTATAAGTGACATTTGTATTTGTCTCTAAAAGTTATTAGATTTGTCTCCATATAACATGATGATAAGAGACATTTGTATTTGTCACTAAATACTATTAGATTTGCATCTATATGATATATGTATAAGGAGCATTTATATTTGAATCTAAAGACTATTAAATTTGTCTCTAATGACTTGGCTATAAGCAACAATTGTATTTGTCTCAAAAGATTATCAGATTTGTCTATAGAGACAAATAATTTCACCTACTGAGTCAAATAATATATTTGCTCCTAACGTTTAGCTATAGAGACCAATACAACAATTGCCTCTAATTATTTGCCTCTATAGGCCGATTTTCTTGTAGTGAATCTTTTTGGTTGCGTTGCGGAAAAATCAGAGCTCTTTCTTTTTTAGTGTTACTTTAGGTGCCCGAACATAAGCAGACTACAGAGCTAGTAATTATGTATATTGTAGTCTTTTAATTCCATTTAATTAATAGAAATATTTCACTCTTATAAAAAATGATACAATCTCTTATACTTTGAGCAAATACATCTTAGAAAGCAGTATTATCAAATTGAAATAATATCATTAATTTCAAAACATAGAACCAAAACACCCTAAAAAGATAAAAAAAAAATCATTGTAATATAGATAACAGTTACAAATAAAGGCAATAATCAACCTTGTTGCAGAACAAACAAGCTTTGGCAAGAGTGGTGTGGGATAAAAGAACTCTGGTTCGATGATGAGCAACCCTTGGTTGTAGCCATAACGCTTCTATGTACTTGCTCAAGAACTTTATCGCCATTTTGTTGTGAGAAGATCAATGAAATAACCTGATCCATTACAAAAGTGTCAAACGGCAATACAATTGGTTTGCTACTTGAGAATCCAAACTCTTCTTTAGACATCCTCAATATCTCCAAAACTGCTTCGTTTTTCAAAAACTTCAATGGTATTGTATAACGACTTTTATCCATGGTGTAGACCACGAAATGACCCCTTCTATCGTAAGAAGAAAATGATGCGTTGAATGGAGGAGAAGAAGGAGAAGCAATCGATCCCATTCTTCTCACTGTAGCAATCTTCCTCCACTTTCTCACGATTGACGTCACGAGTGTTTTTGGAAGAGCCATGATTGAGAATTCGAACTCTTGTGAAATTATATGACTCTTGATGATTATGAAGAATGAGAGAAATGACGATCAGTGTTGCCAAGGTTTTTCTGAGATGAATCAATAGGAAGGCAATATGGTTTAGCTTTTATAGACAGTATAGAGCATACACGTACTAGTTACTACACTAAGGATGCTCAACCTTCCATGGTATTTGTTGTTTGCAAGGGAAAAATTAGGCATACTTAACCGTTAGTTAGATAATAATTTGTTTGCATTTAGTATTTTTTAATATATATATATACAAAGTTTGGCTTTGATATTAATGTTTGGAACAGACACTAGGTCACTGTAATTCCGAGATTGTATCTTGTTAGTTATTTACGAGAATCCCAAACGTACAAGTTCGTTAACTAGTGAAGAAAACAAATCTACTTTGGAACAAGAAAAAAATCTCCTCGAGCTGAGCTGATGGGAATGGCGCAAGGCTTACGCTGTGCATGGGAGGTGGGGATCCGGAAGGCTGTGCTCCAGACGGACTCTAAGACATCCATACACCTCCTCGAGTCGGCACCACCTACTCATCCCCATTTCACGATCGTGTCGGAGATTAGGCAGCTCTTACAGCGGGATTGGCTGATTCGGATCGAGCATGTCTTCAGGGAGGGGAACGCGGTGGCAGATTACCTGGCGTCTACTGGTCATGACGCGGCCCCGGGAGTGCACATCATCAACAGCCCGAGCAGCATGCTAAACTATTGGCTACTATTTGATCACTTAGGGGTTGAAACCCCTCGTTTTGTTTCTGACTAAGGTTTGGGTGCCCTTTGCACCCTTTTTCCCACCAAAAAAAAAGAAAAAAATCTCACAAGGGATTTCATCATTTCAACTTTAACCTATTTTCCAAGGTGGAATTATGGGGATCCTTAGTTTTGTACAATTGCTGTGGATTTGTTGGGTCCTGGATTTAATTCATACAGAAAATTAACTATTGTATGCATATTGTATAGTATCTTAATTCATTGGAGAAAATTATTCAATCTAAGGGGGTCGACCCATTTTGATATACTATTTGAAGAAAATGTTTATTTTTTTACTGATAATTCAAATTGAAATGAGTTAATTCATAAATAAAAAATAGAGGTAAAAAGTAGACTAATTAAGTTCAATTGGTTGAAAGATGAAGTATTGCGCATATATAACGTGTCATTGGGTGAAAAATGAGTTAAGATAAGTCAAAATAAGAGACCATTGAGACAAATCAAGGTAGGACGGGTCAAGAACGAGATGCGGGGGGGCGAGGCAGTTCAGAAGTAGTACCCAAGTCTCGACCCACGCTACAACGGTACCCACCCAGCGCAGGGTCAGTTCAGATAATATCCTCTCGAGGAGAATTCAGATTACCATGAAGTATTAGGATTTAGGAGTGTTGAATATGAGTAACACAGGCTCTGTAATTAAGCACTACCGGTTAATACCCGCCCACTGCGGGGTCATGTTGGATAATACCCTAAGAAGCGGGTTCAAATTACCATGAAGTATTAGGATTTAGAAGCGGTGGAGATGAGTAAAACAGGCTCTACACAAAAAGGTCACGATAGAGATCCCAACGGGAAACGTTATCACCAAATATCCAACTAAAGAGCTTGTTGGAAAGGAAGAGCAGAGGGTTATAGTTATGAGTTCTTTGATAAACAGCGTTCCAGAAATCGAAAATCGCGCTCCCGCAAAATAGAAATTCATGAATTTTCCACTAGAATGTTAAAGAAGAAGATTTTCTCACTCAAGGTCTCCTCCCCTTTTCTCCTTCAGCTCAAGCCTCTTTTTATACCTAGGTCCATCTCAAATCACGGTCCCAGCTCACGGTCTCTAGCTTGAGTTTATGGTCGCAAGACCGTGAACTGGCATGAGTCCAGTGAGATCAAAAAACTGCTCTGGACGCATGGCGGTTCATGGTTGATGGCTTCAGTTCACGACCTGTCTACCGTGAACTCTTTGCTTTGTCGTGATCTGCGGGTGCCTCCATCCTTTACCCGTTTCATCTTTTCGTCCAACTTCTGACTCCGGGGGTTGGTTCCACCTGCTTGAGTTTGAAACATGTTAAAACAAGGCAAAACCTAGCGCAAAACCAAACCTTTCGGAGTACAAATGCCTCAAATGCCTAAGAAAAACAAGTATAAAACGTGTAAAATTAGGGCCGAATAATTCAGCGAAGTAAAAAACCTCAATCCGGAGGCGTTGCTGACAAATAGCTATGAAGCACATTCGAATCCCCTCCTTTCTCAGTAGTTGTGGATTCCTTCCTCTCTTCGGCGAATCGATGGGACAGATAGTAGCGGCCGGAAAATTCATCCTTTCTCTGGCGTATCGATGGGAGAGTTACTAGGGGAGGATTCCCCCCCCCCCCCTATTGGGTTTATCAATGAGTTGGGTGGGTACTTTAGGTTGGGTTGTATGGTTGACTGATGTGGCGGGCTTAGCTGACTGTACGGGTTGGATTTTAATTTTTTTGTTAAAATTGGGTGAATCAACATTTCCGTTAGCCACGTCAGCAAAAATCTGACGGTGTTAACGGAGGCTGACGTACACTAACGGCCAGTGACCGAACTTGGACAACTGAAATAATTTTACTGACAACGAATGGAATAAATTAATCTTAGTGACAAACGTGACATGTTTGAGTAATCTTAGTGACCAAACTTGCAATTCACCCTTAAATAGTTATTACATAGATTTGTGGGCTTAAATTGTATTCATCAAGTGTTTAAGGATCAGCCATTCTAGAGATGGACAAAATTATGTTGATATTGATTAGAAGCCTACTTTGTGATTAATTTTTATTTCCTATTTACTAATAACTTTCATAAATCCCTACACCCCATAATTATGCCAACAACAACGGCAAACAATTTAATTTTCATCTGTTGCGTCCAATGAGAAGAAGATAGTCGTTGCAGCCCCAATCCCACACTCTACCTCTAGCATATACCAACGGTAAAAATATAAAATATACATAGATAAACAATTTTTTATAGTATTATCTAGCGTTATAGGTATAATATGCTGAATCGCTATTCGTCGCCCTAAAATTCAAATTTTATCGCCCTAAAACGCACCAAATTTACACTCGGACCCCTCTGACCCCATTCCTTTAGCTGCAGCAGCCGCCGCATCTTCTTCCGCAGACTTCCTCTTCCCCTCTGTCACCCACTTACAGCACATGCACTACTCCATTAACAAGAACGATTAAAGAGAAATGGGGCAAGCTTGGCTCCATTTGTGGCAGAGGCGCAGAACCGCCTCCGTCGATTGCCCAGCAGCGGCCGACCTCAACCCGATGCTACTGTCTCTGTCGGATTCTTCTCTCCGGCAGCTGCCTAGCTCAATCTGACCGCCTCCGGTGCTCTGCTTCTACTGCCAGAGTTCATTTGATCCTATTCTTAACGTCATATCGGTATGTGCATCAGCAACCAGTGGCAGTGTTCTGTGTATAGAATTCTTCAAATGGGTTTTGAAGTTCGTACTCCTTAATTATGCCGCGAAAGGCAATTGATTCTTTCTTGTCTAGAGTTTGATTCTTCTTATTCGGCTTACAAGTTCTCAATGCCTATGCCAAGAAACAAGGTTTCGGCATTAGAGTGAGCAATTCGTGATTTAAGGTCCAAGGGAAAGGAAAGGTATAAAGCCAAAGTCAGTTGCAAAGAGTAGCTTTTAGCATAAGAGGCTCAATGACAAATTGATAACGTTTTGGGAAATTTATTTCCGGTAATAAGTTTGTTTTTTTCCCGTTAATTTATAAATTTGTTTTGGGTTTAAGTGTTTAAACTACAAATAAATAAATCAAGGGCATTAGAGTAAAATTAACTTAATTAGGGCGACGAATAAGAATTTTTAGGGCGACGAATAGCAATCCCCATAATATGCCCCTTTACTATGACGTTTTATCAAACATGCCCCTCTACTATTTTTTACATAAAAAATGCTCCTGTAATTTGGAAAAACTATCAAACATGCCCTTCAGTTAAAATTTCATTGAAAAAATCGTCAATCATGGTTGAACCGAGATTTAGATGACCTGACATCGATAAATGGGAGGAGAAATGTCAGTTTTGACCTTTGCTTTATTTCTCTAGGTCTCATCAAAGTGAAATTATTAGAATTATTTGCTATACAAAAGAAAAAAAAACTCTAAAGTGAAATTATTAGAGATATTTTATATATTTGGGTCGCCCAAACCAAAGTTCGGTCTTGGTTAACGATTTTTGGATGGAAATTTTAACAAAAGGGCATGTTTGATAAGTTTTCCAAAGTACAGGGACATGTTTGATGCAAAAAATAGTAGAGTGACATGTTTGATAAAACGTCATAGTAGAGGTGCATATTATCTGTATCGCTATTCATCGCTCTAAATTTAAATTTTATCGCCCTAAAACGCACTAAATTGACATAAATATACCTCAAGGCAATTTCTATCCTAATCCCTAACCAAACAATTGCCGACAAAGAATCCCACCAATCGGATTTGGCAGCCGTGGCCATTCCCCTAGCACGCCGATCTGCTATGATTCCTCAATCCACGACCCACTGTTGTTGCTGAGGAAGGAGGAAGAAGAAGATCGTGGCGCTGGTCACCCGCTGCTGTCGTTCCTCAGTCTTCCAACTAGCTGCTGCTGTTGTTTGTTTTATAGCTGCTGCTGGACGGAGGACGAAGAAGGAAGGAGGTCGGAGCCGTTGTCGCTGCCGATTCGCTTCCCGTGCTCGCTGTCTACCAGGAGAAGGCTCAAGAAGGAAGAGGAGGTTGCAGTCGTTGCTGCTCCTATTGACCCCTGCCGAAAAGAGAGGAGTGGACGACCGCCATCGACCCAATGTTGCCGACGTGCCCATATTTTTTTTTCTTTTTGTGATTTTGGCTTGACGGGTTCGCCGGCGAGCTTGGGACGGAAACCTGTCCGACGCTGTCTTGGGTCGGGGGAAAATTGTGGCTTCTAGTTACAGAGTTGAACCCAATTCTTGGAATGTGTTGAAGAGAAGGAAATGTGAGGATGTATTTGGTAAACATCAGAAAATACAACACTAGTTAGATATGAAAATCAAGGTATCTGTTTGCTAACCCAAAGAAGTATATAGACTATAATGATCCGTTAACCAATAATATGAAGAAAGGACATTAGAGTAAAATCAATTTATTTAGGGTGACAAATAAGGAATTTTAGGGCGGCAAATAGCAATCCCATTATCTGCCTATAGTATTCTTCCTTTATATTAATTTTTATTCCCATCTCATCCACTTCCTCTCTATTGATTGTCTCTCTTGTTCAATTTTCTAAATTGTTTTTCGTCTTATGGTTAATTGAGTACCCACCATTTATGAAGGTGGGCTTAGTTAATTGACTAATTATCCATTTTGTTACTCTTTGGGTTCTTTTCGTGTCAATTCATTTAATTATGTATTTTAATTGAAGTCAATTTTTTCATCTTCTTATTTCAGCCATTATCAGTTCATCAATCATCGTCTTCTGGATAGTGAGTCATCCATATTATAACATCAAATTTTGATGGCAATTATTTATATAATGAGTTCTTATTACAAGATTTTTACAATAGGAAATTTTACAACCAGATCACAATTTGAACTTTTTGGAACGTGTTGGTTGTTTTCCTATTGCTATTATAGTATATAAAATCTTGTTAACTATTCAAGTGACTGTTGTTAATGCAGAGAGAAGTTTTCTAAGTTGAAGTTGTTTGAAATCCTATTTACGTTCTACAATGATAAAAAAAACTCAATCAATTAGCTATGATAGCGATTAAACACAATCAATTGGAGAATTCGAAAATTGAAGAGCTCATAAATAATTCTATTTAAGAAAATACTAGAAGGATGTTATTTTTTAAATCACGATGCCGCTGAAGAATTGCTCGGACGGCCCTGGGGACTAGGGCTGGAAGTTTGGTACCGGTATTTGGGATATACCGAATACCGTACCGAATTTGTCTATATTGGTATTACGGAATACACGTATTATTTTTTGGGATTGGGATTGGGATTGAATTTCAATTGTTATTCGGTATTAGGGATTACGGGATTGGGATCGGGATATACCGAAATACCGATCAATACCAAAATATAAGCTAGTTTGTATTTTATCCTCTCAACTAGACTCTCTCATTTACTACTAAATGACCCTCAACCACCAAAAATGTCATTTAATTATACACAGATCATTCCATCATTATTAATAGTCGTCTCTCAACTTCTAATTCGTCAAATTAAAGATTATCAATAACAAGAACTTGAGATGTCTCCTTTCCTCCACTCTCCATAATAATATCCTAATTCAAAACTCTTTGCTTAGTCTTTTTCCCATAAATTAAACAATAAAATCTAATTTATATATTTAATTATTAATTGCAAAGGTAATTAATTTCGTATTTGATAATACCGATTGGGATACCGAGGTACCGATTGGGATACCGAAATATTTAGGGATTGGGATTGGGATACCGGAATTATTTAGGGATTGGGATTGGGATTGACTTTAGGGTGTAATTCGGTATTCGGGATTTCGGTATTTGGTATTGGGATACCGATACCGTACCGATTTCCACCCCTACTGGGGACAGCAAATGATGCTGCTGAATAATTGCTGCTGCCGGTGGGTAGGATAAACAACAACACATGGAAATTTGTGCCACAACAAACAGCCACGATTACTGTACTGAAGTGAAGCGTGCAAAAACAACAAAACCCAGAGGCAAAGGCTCTTTCCTTTTCCCCTTCCATCAGTTCCTTTCTTTTTTTCCTGGCAGCCCAATGGACAGTCCAACCAACCAAAACCAGCAGCTCCACATCTTCTTCATGCCGTTCATCGCGCCGGGCCACATGATCCCCATGATCGACTTGGCCAAGCTCTTCGCTTCCAGAGGAGTGAAGAGCAGCATCATAACCACCTCTGCTTACACCGACAAAGTCTCCCAATCCATCCAAAAATCTGCTTCCGAATCCCCAATCCAAGTTCTCGCCATGACCACCGCCGCCGGGACAATCACCTGGGAGCAGGCGTCCGAAGAAGCAAAGGCGGACCTCTTCTTCAACTCCGCTCCCACCTTCGCCGAGCCCCTCAAAGAATTGTTGGAACAACACCGCCCCGATTGCTTAGTCGCCGACACCTTCTTCACCTGGACCACGGAATTGGCGGCAAGTCTGGGCGTCCCTAAGGTAGTTTTCGGCGGGAAGTGCTTCTTCTCCCTGTGCGCCGAACAGAGCCTGGTCGAACACTACCCACACAGTAGAGTCTCTTCCGACGACGACGCTTTCGTCATCCCGAATCTCCCCGGGGACGGAATCGAATTCACCAGGGGCCAAATCTCGGAAGCATGGAAGTCCGAAAGCGTATTCACCCATTTCTTCAAAAAGTGCCTCGATTCGGAGAGGGATTCCTACGGCGTTCTCGTCAACAGTTTCTACGAATTGGAACCTCTCTACGCCGACCACTACAGATCAGCCGTCGCGAAACGGGCCTGGCAGGTCGGCCCCGTTTCTCTTTTCGCCGGCGGCGCGGAGGAGAAAGAGAGCAGAGGGATGGTGGCCGTGACGGAAGCTGCTGCAGTTGACCGTCACGAATGCTTGAAATGGCTGGATTCGAAAAAACCCAATTCTGTAATTTACCTGTGTTTCGGGTCTGAATCAGAGTTCACGGCGGCGCAGAATTCGGAGCTGGCGGCGGGGCTGGAAGGCTCGGGACAGGGGTTTGTTTGGGTGGTGAAGAGAAGGGAAGATCTGCCGGATGGATTTGAGGAGAGAGTTGAAGGGCAAGGATTGGTAATTGAAGGGTGGGCGCCGCAGCTGCTGATTTTAGGGCACGCGGCGGTGGGTGGATTCGTGACCCACTGCGGCTGGAACTCTGTTGTGGAAGCGATTGCTGCGGGGGTTCCGATGGTGACGTGGCCGCTGGCGGCGGAGCAATTCTTCAACGAGAAGCTGGTGAGCAAGGTATTGAGGGTGGGAGTGGAAGTCGGAGCTCGACGGTGGGTTAGGCTGGTCGGGGATTTTGTGAGGAAGGAAGCGGTGGAGAAAGCGGTGAGGGAAGTTATGGTGGGAGAAAGAGCAGAGGAAATGAGAAGCATGACAGGGAAGCTTGGAGGAATGGCGAGGAGTGCCCTTGAAGAAGGTGGGTCATCGCTTCGTGATTTGAGTTGGTTTATTGAAGAATTCATTAGTAAGAAGAAGGCTTAATCCTTGAAATCAAACTATGGAAAGGATGGAAGACTCCATGTATCAGAATTTTTGTGGCTTGTATTCACTTCGCCGTATGCATAAGAAATTCGAACAAAGTAATCTAGAGCTGGTTCTCGTTTGATCGTTGAAAGAAAACTAAAACTTATGGGTGAATTGAGTTGGACTTTTAATTGATAGTGCAATGTCTAACATACGAAAGGATATTATCATTATATGAATCTGGAGCCAAGGTGATGCTAATGTAGGGTATTTTGCTAACGGTGGTAGGATCAACCAACACATTCCGAATATGAATCAAGCCTTTAATCTGCACATCACGAACAATTTTCTGTCCTTGATACGGTGATACCATTGCAACGTCTTGCCTAGGCTCCCACTATTCCTCCTCACTTTCCCCTCCCTCTTGCCGTCGGGGTCGCCTCCTCATGCGGTTGCACTTTGATACTTCGGATTTCGGAATAAGCAGTTTTGCCTAAACGAACTCACAGCTTGAGTTTTACTATATATATATTGATAGGGGTGGCAGAACGGTTTCCGGTTAGCAGTTAACCCGACGGTTTCAACCGAACTGACCGGTTTTCAGCTAACCGAAAAACCGGTTCTGAATGCAGCGGTCGGTTGGCGGTAGGGAAGGGCAGGGGTTCGGCTAGCCGACTAACCGGGGTCGGAAACCGGCGGTTAACCGGCTAACCGACCCCTTCCCTTTCCCCAAAAACGACTGCGCTTCATTCCCCACTAACCCTTATATGTCGACTGTCGACTCCCTCTGCCCTCCTCCCAAATCCAAATACCATCCTCGCCGCTCCAGCCCCCTTCTCCCTTCTCGCGCAGCCTCCACCCACCTCCTTCTGCCCTCTACCTCGTCCCCCGCCGCCTCCACCTCGTCGCCCCGCCGCCTCCACCATCATCGCCCCGCCACCAGCAGGCAGCAGCAGCTCCACCCTCGTCAGCCAGGCACCCTCGTCTTCGCCGCCGGCAGCCCGGGAATGCCGAAGGAAACCTCTTCTGTCCCTCGCACGACCATCGGATGCCTTCCCCGGCGGTGACCTCTTCTTCTCCTCTCACCCGCGAACAAAACCCAAAAGAATAACACAGATCAAAAACAAAAACCAAAATCAAACCCTCAAAATTCGACATGCAAGTGAGAGAACTTGATCTCACCTTCTTCTACCGTCGCCTACCATCGTCTTGCCCGGCGAAAGATGAGAGATATGCGATTTGGGGATTTTGTGGTTTGGGGATTTTTCGAAAAGATGAGAGATATGCGATTTGGGGATTTTGTGGTTTCGCAAACCAGGGAAATAAATGGGGTGGTGGGTCTGGCAGGGTGGCGACGGGAACGACGAGCAGTAGAAGTAGTCTCTGCTCTGGCACAGTGGATGCTGGGAAGTTGATGATACTGGGATTGCTCGGCGGCTGGTTATGGCCAAGCCCCCTTCAGATACAGAGGCTGGTGGTTGAAGGGATTTGGGATTTGTGGTTTCCGATCTGGAAAAAGGAGAAAGATGGGATCTATGTGGCGGAAGGTAGTGGGGATTTGGGGTTCTGGATTTTTGGTGTTGTTGTTGACGAACAGTAGAGAGGAAGATGGGGAAAGAAGGGATGGATTTTTCTAGGTAAATGGGAAAGGAATGGTGGGTTTTGATGTCGGTTCTCGGTCGGTTAGACCATTGAACCGAACCGTACACCAGTCTGTCGGTTGCCCCGGTTTAACCGCGTCTAAACCGAAAACCGTCAGGTCGGTTTGCGGCTAATCGGGGCGCTGAGGTCGGTCGGTGGCCGGTGGCTTCAGGTCAGGTCTCGGTTTAACTGAAAATCGAGAATTCGGTTTTTGGTTTAACCGAAACCGACCGGTTGCCAGCCCTATATATTGACGCGCTTTGCTGCGATTAGGAGGAGGGTGTTGGTTCAGTTTATTAGTAGTGGGATTGAGTATTAATTATCATGTGGTTTATTTGTTGTTCATTTTTTTAATACTTAATTTTCTATGAAATTTGTTAAAATGATAATTTTGGATCCAAATTACAATTTAAAAAAAAATTATGGATAAGTTTTGACCAAATTTTTTGTTGACCTTCAATACAAACAATTAACCTTTCTGTAACGTAGTGTTTCACGGCCGACATGAATGTCACATGCTTGCTATGCATGGTTAGTAAATATCCATTTGATACCTTGTATACGTAGTACGTACTAAATGTGGGTAAAACTCTAGGTCTCGTAGCTAATTACTAACTTGTATTAAAAAAAAAATTGATTTCTTTATGAGAAGTTTGAATATTTTTCAGAACTTTTTTGTCGTAGATTATATGGATTTGAATTTGTTTATGGTTAGTGGTTATTTCACTCCTAAATTAGTGTATTATAACGGTTATAGTGCATGAACGGTTCTGAACGGTTACTCAACAGTTCTATAACGGTTGCCCGTTGAACCATCAACCACTAAACTTTACGGTTTAGCATCCGGTCCAGTTCTATAAACATTGAGAAAAACTAATTTAAATGTACTAATGGAGAGAGATTTTTTAAAAGTAAAAAAAAAAAAATTTGGCCGACCATCTAAAAAGCCTAAGACCCCATATAAACACATCCCAATTGAAGAGCTCGCATTGTAAGTGAACCGTAAAACTTGTTTACGTTTATATATATTAACTAGTTTTTTACCCGGCCCATTGGCCGAAGAATCTAATTTTATCATTCATATCAATTAATTTATGTATATAATTAAAAAAATTATTTTTCTAATTTTTCTATGCTCTACTTCATAAGTGAGTATACGATATGTTTATATTCAAAATTCTCAATAATTAACTCGCTCACCTATGATGGTCGATTCTCTAATAATAAATTATATTGTGAAGGAATATCACGTCCGCTTTAAAAATATTATATAAAGATTTGTCGACCAAAGTACTCAAATTTATTATCTGATAAGACATATAAAATTCGTGATTTTCAAACTAGGACAAATTCTCAATCAATTATTAAAGAGTTCAAATTAAACATTTATATCATTTGAAATATTAAATTAGTATTTTTTTGAAAATTTAAATTTTTATAAATATTTTATATCTCATAAAAACATTGTGAAATTTCCCATACATATGAATTAAGACATTTGAAATCACCTCGTTCAGTGTAATACGAAAACAAATTTTTGTGGCTACGATAAGTAGATCCAAATACATATTTCTTACTATTACAATGTAAAACATTTTTGTTTTAACACTTTGATCAATGCTAGGTCAGTTGTTGATGAAACATAATATTTATCGTACATCGTCAACAAAATATTACTCTAACATTCATACATGTCATATAATACTTGTACATCGTCAAGTTTCTATCCAGACATTTTTCTATACAATAATTATTTTATTTAATAAATATATACATTAGATATAAGAGAGGGTTTAATAGCAAAATATAAAATAATATAGTTCATTTTTGAAAGTCAATTGTCTAACAATTATTTTCTCTCTTTTCATCGTTATATTTTCTTTAATCCATAAAATTATTTTTTTATTTAAGTTTTTTTAATTTTCAATGAAGTGTAACTTATGTTTAGTAAAAATGAGTAGAAAATTTACTTGATAAAGTGTAACTTATTATTATTTGTATATCTAACATCCAAATAAAGGTATTGTTTGCTTGTGGGATTTGAGTGATGGATTTGACACCTAAATCTCAAGCATCATGGAATTGACACAAATCTATTGTTTGCTAAGTGACACAAATCCGTGGGCCCCACAGATTTGCAAATCCCACATTTCATTTGAAATCTTATAATGCAAAGCAAAATATGATGAGCACTTCTACTATACTATATACATTAAATGTATAAGTTTAGGTTGTACCAAAAAGCAATTTGTACCATTATGTTATTGTACAACTTTACAACTTGAAGTTGTACCATCACATAAAGGTACAAGTTCAAGTTGTAGCATAAAAAAATTTGTAAACAAAGAATAGGTACAATATGAATTTGTACCATAACATAAATGTATAATTTTAAGTTGTACCATAAAGACAAAACCCTATAACACCAATACTATATAGCACTGTAAAATTTCTCAAATATGATACAAACCCATCATAAATGCAACAAATCTAACATAAATCCAAAGCTTTTTTAAAACTAAAAACTCTCCTTTTCAATTCCAACAAGCAAACGAGCCCTTTAAATCAATTTGCTATTGCAGTCGGTTTAGTTCTCCTCGTCGCATTCTAACTAACAAGTACAACACCTGTATTTTTTGGGACTGGTTGCCTATGTTGACATGCATGTCACCCTAACTTGCACTTTTAGGTCGACCTAAATTAAAATTAGGTCGACCTAATATGTTGTTTTAATGTAAAAACAATTTCATGGTCTACTTTGGAGATTCATATCTTAAAATTGGCTGGATGGAAATTAGAGATTAATGGCTTGTTTGGGAGCTCGATAGGAAGTCCAGAAGACCATTGTTGAACCGGATCAAAAGGCTATGCCAAAACTGGGAAACTGCCTGAAAATGGCTAAGTCTAGGAAAGTGTTTGTCAAGCCTACTTTGGAGCTCAATTCGAGAAGCATGGATGAGATTCGAGTCCAATGGCCTCTACCACATGAAAGTAGGTATGTTTGTCTACAAAGTCAAGGCATTGGATGGAATATTGGATATCTGGAAGGTTTTAAACAAAAGCTCGAAGTTGATACGAAGTAAGCTGCCTTATAGCACAAGACTGAAACGACAGATTAGGTCGACTTAATCCTAAGTAATAATTCTCCCAAAAAGAAAATGACGAATGAAACCAACCAAACACTCCAAGACAACACAACATTAATAGATGTGGCGACAGTGGTCAGCATTGACGAATGCAGCAGCTCAATGATGAAAAGCAAATAAAAATCTCACACCCCCACAATAATACTTAACTCTACTATATTGTCATTGTAGTACTATGAATTAATTGGAGTGTTTTCACATAATTGACGACATCTCTCATGAATTTGGCCGATGTTAGATAACCTTTCGTTGGGTTTCTTTCCTGATTGTTTTCCCTTTTCTTCTTCTTCACTGCTGGCGGTAAAGAAATTATTGGCCCGGCTTTTAGAAGTGCTTTTCGGTTTCAAAAGCTGAAGCAGGGCCAAACACTCGTAAAAGCTCGGCTTCTGAAAAGCCGAAAAGCGCTTTTGTATAACATAAAAGCAGAAGCTCCGATTTGGAGCTTCTGCGAAAAGCTGTTTTGAAAATACAAGATTATCTTTACCATATTTTAATTTTATTTCAGAAAATATAATTTTTCTTCATTTATATCATTTTAAAAATAAAATAAATTATAAAATTATATTATTTAATATAAAAAATCTAACAAGATCCATTTTGACTATTTTTTATTGTTTAGAATTTTTATTCATATTTTATATTTTAAGTCCTTTATAGTCATTTTACACAATCTCTCATATTAAAAAGCACTTCTAATAGTTTTACAGCCAAACACTGACTGCTTTTTTTTTAAAAGTACTTATTTAAAAGCTCCAATCAGAAGTTGTTTCTGCAAAAACTACAGCAGGCCAAACTAAACTTATATCAAATATATAAATATTAGAAACAATATATATATATATATATATATATATATATATATATAGTACCCCGGTGAAATTCGGGGTACCGCATACCTTGAGTATGAAAATGCTATCTAGACCTCAAATTAGCAGGAGTTTTGGGCATGATACTCTACCCTAACCCTTAATGAGTGAACTCTAGGTTCTAATTATCTAAATCATAAACTATAAACCCTAAGATGGTGCGTTGATTTTTTTGCCTATATTTAAACGAATCGTAACCGTCGATTATTGTTTCGAATTAAATTGATCTTGGGGTATAAGATTTAGAGAATTAAGACCTAGATGTTGATCTTTAAGGATTAGAGTATAATATCATGTCAGAAAGATTAGTCAATTCAAGTTCTAGATAGCGTTTTCTTACTCAATGTATGTGGTACCCTGGATTTCACCCTGGGTACCGTAGAACTCCCCATATATATATATATATAAAATCAAACCATAGGAAATTATAGAAATCGAGCTACATATTGCGTTTTCGATCAAAATAACTCACTCACTTTAACAAAATAATAAAAATAAGGGATAGTACTATTAGAGTATAGTTAGTACAAGTATTATTATGTTATATTATGAGTATCGTTATGTATTTGGCCAGAGTTATATTTCTTATCAGAGTCGTATAAGTTAGGTAATTTTCGTATTAAATGTTAGGGTTATTATAAAAGACAATCTATATATAATATATAAATCATATGTGATTTCAGTAATAATACACAACCGTTTTAATAATCCCATGTTAATCATTTTTTATTATATAAATGGATGTAATGTATTTCAGTCTTCATTCAAACCCAATTGAGATTGGGAAATCACCTGACAATTTACATAGTCCAATATTCTAGTACATGGTTGATACTAGATAACCAAAAGAAAGAAACCAAACACATACAAGTACTTTGTTGATTGGAGTAGTTGTCAATGATATTTACTGATCCATTAACGAGTTTGGACCCTAATACATCCGAATACTCTCTTGCCGTGGTTAAAAGATTCGTTCCCCTTAGTTTGGTGGGAAAACTTTCCTTCCAGTTTAACTCCACTCACAGAATTAGGAGTGTCTTAAATTTCAATAGGTATGACCATGCACCAATTATATATGGAGAAGACCAACTCTAGTTGTTATTCCCCACTCACGTTTCGAATCCTGCTAGATGCCGGACAGGAGAAAGAAACCAAACACTCCAAGGCACCACAA